GGAGTTTTTATTTTTTTGACACTTTTGTCTCTTTAATTTTCTTCTTTTTCACTCCTCTTCCCCTTTTTGGACTTTTCCCTTTTGGGGACTTCGTCGAATTTTGGATTTTTTCATTTCTTTTCCCTGACTTCCAAACTCTTTTATTTTATTTAATTTTACTTTATTTTACTTTATTTTTTTGCTTTTATTTTATTTTATTTTGCTTTATTTTACTTTATTTTATTTTGCTTTATTTATTTTATTTTTATTATTATTTTTTTTTGTTTGCAGGTAACAGTAATGCCCAAAGAACCCGGACTTCTTTATTTTGTTGGACTTTCTTGCACTTTAAATCGAGTTGCTTCTTCCCAATTGCTGCTGCGACAAAGTCCCAAACTTCAGCAGCTTTTGAAGACAAGGCCTGCCTTTGCAGTACCCCGGGGGGCCCCCGGGGGGCCCCCCGAGGGGGGCCCCCCGGGGGGCCCCCCGGGGGCCCCCCCGGGAGGGGGGCCCCCCACGGGGGCCCCCCTGGGGGGGGGCCCCCACGGGTGCGGGGGGCCCCTGGGGGGCACCGACGGGCTGCTGCAGGGGCTGGAGATTCAGTTGAATGTGGGGGACGGAGCAGCAGCAGCAACAGCAGCAGCAGCAGCAGCAGCAGCAGGGGACCTGCCGCCGCCCCCAGAGTTTGTGGAGGCCACCGAAGAGCTGCTGCAGTAAGGAGACAGATAGGGACACAGAGAGGCAGCAGCAGCAGCAGCAGCAGTGCACCGGCGTGGCTCCGGTTTGTGCTGCAGTGTCTGCTGCTGCTGCTGCTGCTGCTGCTGCTGCTGCTGCTGCTGCAGGTACAGTGCTGCTGCTTGCGTCGAGGTCATACCTGAGCTGCCGCTGCTGCGGGTCTCACTGGAAGCTGCTGCTCCTCCCTCGTTTTCAATAGAGGATTTGCTGCGGCGCCCTGCTGCTGCTGCTGCAGCAGGCCCCACCCAGCAGCAGCAGCTTGCAGCAGCAGCAGCAGCAGCAGCAGCAGAAGGGGCCCCCTCCGAGACAACCATAAGGAGGCGGGGGACTGTGTGGTCAGATACTTACGCAGAGACGGCTGTGGCCACCTGGGGGCCCCCAGGGGCCCCCAGTGCTGCGCCCCACACTGCTGCTGCTGCTGCTGCTGCTGCTGCTGCTGCAGGCTGCAGCGGGGACTGGGAGGACACAGAAACGGAGACAGATGGGGAAGGAGA